TTCAAAATTTCCTTATCCACATACGTTACAAGTAACGAAAACTAGGAAGTATCATACTTTTGGAAAGACAAACTTAGAACGAGCAAAATCTGAAATTGTGGTAATTCTATAACGATGAATTAAATCTGTTAACTACTACATGCAGACATTTGAATATATGGTGAATTATTCAACACTTTCCTTGAAACTATTTGTTCTCGAGTGATATCCGTTCACCTCATACACATTATCAGTAATAATTCTTCTACAAACAAGTTTCAGATATCCACTTGGAAAAAACCCATTAGAAACAACTACTTTCACATCAATGAATTACACAAAAATTAATTTTTCCCATTCAATTTGTAGTCCTCCAAACAAATGTGGTATTGAAACAGATATCATAGAAACGCTACATAACATAATATATGAAAAAGTATTGATAAAAATGTCACTCACATAGAATACTATCATACAAAGTAGATTTTCAGTCCCCTTCCATTAAAAAAATTTAGTTCAAAAGAGAATCCGATAACACCCAAATGAATCGGCTGGTATCGCACTGAATACTCAGAACTGTAATATAGGTATTCAGCAGCATATCTAATCAGTTGTAAGGAAATTTCAATACATAACCATGAATACATTCGAAGTTGATTTGTGTCAACTATGTGTTCATAAAATAAAATGCTTGAATATCTTCTTTTACTGTCGCACTTGCTCGCGGCGGAATCTTGTGGAGGTAAGTATCTATATTGTTTCGACAACTACTTCATTATAATTGTGGTAAATTGAAATATTTGGTTTGTGAGCAAAGAAGATTAAAGTACTCTGCAAAAAGTTGTTGGATTTGCCATGCACACTATCAACCAAGATCCCTCTGTATTCAGATTTATTTCCCTATTGTAAAATGGCAGACGTCACAATCAATATTGTTATATTATTCAGAAGAAACGGTTTCCATTTTGCATTCTACACTTCTTCCCCATTTTATGTATTTATTTTTGATAAGTGGAGGCTCTCAAAAATTAATATTAATTTTCATTTAATCGTTCCTTCTTCATGGTTTTGAACATTATTCAAGAAACACTTCTTTGCGAGATTTTCAATAAACAATGGCTTTTTCGTGCGTGTCTTCACGATTTTTTAAAAAACTGTTCTATGAAAATCTCACAATAAAGTGGTTTTCGTACAACTGTCATCAAAAGTGACATTTTTAATGGATATCAAGAGTATTAAAAGATGATGTTTACAAAGTAGCGTGTTGAAAATATTTATAACGCTAGTTTTGGAGGTATTTTTAACGCTAGTTTTGGAGGTATTTTCAACATGATTTTTTTCGACAACAAACCAATAAACAAAACATAATTCAATTCAATTCAATTCTCAAGGAAGTTTTATAATTAGAACAACTGCTGATATAAATACCTTGCGATGTTGAAGAGCCTTGTAATATATTTGAACCAGCTGAAGTGACAATTTCATGGGCATTAACATTCAATTCTTGAAGTGAAGAGGACGATGCTGTAACGCTGGAGATAGCTGTTGGAATTATTCTTTCAGCAATAGCTTTTTATAAGAAATAGATTTATTGATCTAACCCTCAGCTACTGTTGTAGACTTTCATCCTCCGTGCTTCTTAATATCCGTTATATTTGCTCTTGATTCTGCTAGCAAAGAAGCAGAAGACCTTCTCAAGCAGTGACCTGTATATTCCTTTGGTTCCGAGAGGTTCAGAAACTCTGCAAAGGTAGAGGATATTTTCCCAAACATCTATAAAACTCTGGACTTATTAAAACGTGAGAGTTTTTGATTTTTTGGGCCTATGACTTTCATTTTTCCGCTTCAAGAATGATATTACCTTGAAATATTTGCTTGTTAACTCCATTTTCGATTTCACTGAAATTTCCTTCGACTTTTTTAAGTCTACATCAGCTAAGAGAATTGAAATATGCCATGCCATATTGTTGAGCCGATTTTTTTGGTAACAATTCAAATCAAGCTCTTTTTGTAGCCTCTTCCATATCGTCAGGAACACACAATTCCTTACTATTGTTTTTCATTATGCCAGACATTAAACACCAGCAAAAAATTTGAATGAGACTTTAAATAAAACGCATGAGCTGTAAACATTACTGTTTGTTGGTAACCAGGTGATTCGGCGTCACCTGACACGGCGACTTCACAGCAAATGCGATAACATAAAATAGTTGACTGACAAGAGACGTCAAAATTGTTTTTATGGAAATATTGAATTTATCTATTTTATTATGGAAACAGGACAGTTGTACTAAAAACTTTGTATGATATTTGTGTTGGATTTTCATCCAGTATCGGCCGATTCCATCATATATAGTTTAGAACAGTTGAAATATTTTGTAATTGAAATTAAAGAAAGTACTGATAGTGTTTTGACCATTAACAGAACCTGGTAATTTTCAATTGGGAATATGAAACGAGTCGAAACAATACTGATTTCATAAAATACTAATATTCGAAAAAGATGGTAGATATCTTTATTCTGCTCGATATCTTGAAATTATATAACAAAATCGAATGTTGATTCAACTGTGAGGTTTTCAAATTAGCATCAAATCAGTTGATGATGTGGGTGCATGCAGAATAACTAAAATAACTAATTGTATCTGAATACACAAAACGTTTTTTTTCTTGATAAATAAAAACGATATTGCTATAAGCACAATACATCTTTCCATTATTCATATCGAAAACATTCCAGGATGCCAACGGTATGCCTTTCGTCTGAAAATAAAACACTGGGAACTTCAGAACTTCAGAAGTTATATCAGTTCGAATTTCATTAGTGTCTATCAAATCCATTAAATTAGAATACTTTTTTTTTTAAGTTTTTGGGTAGGTATCAAAACAAATATTTGCCCTGAAAGAAGAATTGGTCGCAGCTTATCACTGGAAAATACCTACTTGATGTAATTTCTTTGGATGTGATAAGAGTAATACTCCATATCAAACTTTCATGCAATATAAATAACATGAACAGTGCCTACGATTTGAAAGAATAAAATCTGGGCTATAAGGTTGTGATCGAAAGTAACAAACATTTCGTCTGCTACTACGGCAGACACCTTTAGTGGTATAGGTGTTCACTGCGAGGATGATAATGGTGGTATTTCGAAGTCTCATATAGAGTGAGGAGCTCTGTATTTACTCGTATTTAATCAGTAGAGGGTGGTGTAGATGAGGTGTCCATGAGAATCCTCACGCAATCAACTAGGTTCATTGCTAGGTTGTTGTGATTGGTCCACGTAATAGGTATGCTGCTAGTGGTATTTCGATCAAAGTTGTAGTCTAGTCCATTCTTTGCTTTCCTGAGTACTGAATACCATGTTCATTTGGTGTACTTTTTTGTTTTCTGTTGAAATTATTAGGATGCTTGTAGATCTCAGTGGCTTCCCTACAAAGTGGTATTTGGCAGTGCATGTATTGGATATCGTCTTCATTTCTATACGTGTTCTGTTTCTGCTAGGACATGTTCTGCTATTGTGTACTCCTCTGGTTGTAGAATTGTGTTCCTGTATCCTATTGTTGATGCTATGTTCAGTAGTACCGGTGTGAATTGACAGATGCTCTCTTCCGTTTTGCAGGATGTCCTGTTCAGTTTACATCGAAACCACCAAACGCACCATCAACACCAGCAACATACAATAGCAGAACATGTTCCGGCAGACACAGACCAGGCTATAACTTGTATATACATGTATATTTATTATGTGCAATGAAGTTATTCATATCGATCCCTTTCATAGAACTGAATGTTTTCTTGAATTGAAAAAATCTTTGGTCAGTCTGAAACTCATTGTGATATTGTTCGCTGGCTGATAATAATAATGATAATAATGAAGGTGCTTATTAATTTTCAGTAACAATGACCAAAATTCGGTATGATACCCAATTGTCACCGGAAAATGCATCAGTTCTTCCACCTAACCCGATGAATTGAATTTCAGTTTTTGGAAAGTTCATAAAAGTATAATAATATATGTCTATTGTTTACATCGATATATCGATTTCAAATTTTTATAAGTAAACGTGAACTGAGCAATGGATATACATTGAGTTGAGAATTTAATATTTTCGGGAGAGAAAGGTTTCAGCTTTCTACTTCTTCATCCTGATACAGTTGTGGGAATCTTTCAAAGAATAGGAGAAAGCAATCAATTTAAAAAATTAATAAAGCCGTAACTTTTTCAAAATATGGCCTTTTGGTATATGAAATTATCGCTTCTTTGATAAAATCGTTTGTATTTGTAACTAACGTTACTGCAGTTTCTTTCTAAAAGAACATTTTGAAACGATTACAAAAAAGCCTATAAATTGAGAATATAATACCTGATAATCACTGAATGGCATTAATCTCATTATATAAATGAAGTTTGTGAAAATATAAATTTTGAATTTTTGAAAATTACCCATTTCTTTTTAATTGAATGACAAAAATTGAAAAAAAAATCAGCCCACTCTGGGACTAGCGGGAATTATTGTAACACAAATTGAAGATGAAAAAATAACGATTTTATTTAAAAACGATAATTTCATGGAGTTGATCAAGCTGATTTTTTTACTACCTTTACAGAAAATTTATTTAATGAAAACAAAAAAAGATACCAAAAGGCAAATTTTTTAAAAAGTTATGGCTATTTGAAAATAAAAGGGATATTTTTTCAAATTCATAACTTTTTTTGGTTGGATACGTTTTTTTGAAACTCCCAAAAATGTTTTCCGAAAGATCGAACGGAATGGAAAACTTTTGACCAGATCGAAAGTGATCGGGTTGGAAAGTGGTCGATTTGGTATGGAATAACTCATACTTATATAGCAAGTCATGTTCAAGTAGTCGAAATTTCAATTTTTTGTTCACACTTTTGACTTCAAGAATGTTTTAGGGTATTAATCAATTTGTTAATTAGAACGTAAGGTGAACACTGCTGACTTCACTTTGATAATGCGAAAATTATATTTATCAGTTATTTCTCTTCCACAAAATGGGATAAAAGAAGACTGTCAATAAAGACAATATCATTATCAAAACAACTGGTGTGTTTGTTATAAATTATTCATTACTTGCCATATGTCGTGCTCCCAAGTTCTGATTTCTTTCCTACATACCACTTCTATACCATACAAGGTTTTACAAGGAAGACAAAACAATTTTTGAACACGACAATAATTGAAAGAGCAGAGGAAACTCGGCATTGAATATTCAAAATGACCAAGAGTTATTGAAAGATCCTTGTGCCCGGAGAGGAAAAAAATGTCTTTGTACTATTGAAGGTGCTTATCTATGAAGGTGGCATAACCTTGAAAACAAACACTGCATATTTTCCACAACTGTTGCCTAATTTTCCAACTTTCATTGGATTCTTTTGCGGTACGTAGGGCCAAAATCAATTTACAAGCAACTTTTTCAAATAACTTATTGCGGTATCTCCAACGTGAAGCAAAATAGAGAAAATTTGCCCACCGACATTTGCGACATCGCAGTAGAGGCCGTTCAAGTATTACGAAAGTACTATAGGGGGGTGGGGGGTATTTCCCTTGCTTATTTTTGATGACATGGTGATTGCGTCAGTAGCAACATATGGGGCAACCCACACATTGTCTATGTTTTAAAAATGCATTTAACAATGTTTACGTGAGTATGGGAGGGGGCGCTAAGAGCCTTGCTTACTTTAGCTGACAAGGGGGATGGGAAGGAGTCAGTCACTCCTTGTGTGATGAATTTGGTTACGTAATACTTGAATGGCTTCGTAGGCTGGATTAAGGGCTATCACTCGGGCTGAGTATTGCGAAAAGTGCGGCCCATGAAGGTCTAGGCCTATACCATAAGTTAAATCACTTGACTAAAATACAGGGATGTCTTAGTTTTAAGTGTATCACACTGTACGTCGATCAAGTTTTAGCGACTACGTTACTTAATGATTAACACTTTCTTGCTAGTTAGGGGTGTATTAGCGAAAAAATCCAATACGAATATCAGAATATTTTCCCTCTTAAATATCAATAATTTCACTTTACATAATCAAAGAATAGTGAGGAAATTTGTATCAGAAACAAATTTATCAACTGTTGCAAGTTTTAACTTAGTATTCTCTAAATAGTTCTCGTTATCAATTCCTTGTGTTGCCATGATTTCTTGTATGCAGGATTTGATGTCATGACGATAAGTCAACTCTGTTTCATTTCCAGCCTTACTGAATTCGATTCCATTCAAAATACGCCTTCTAATCTATTTGAGCTGCTTTGAACTAAGCTCAAAATATTTGACATAATTAAAACCGTGAAAATGAAATGTCATTTTGTATCAATGAAAAATCATGAAAATAAGTTTCTGAATTATACAATTTCGATATTCTCCAGATTATTACTGGAGAGATTTCAGCGGGAGAATCCCATCTGATGCTATTCCTGCGGGAAACAATGCTAATGGATTATCTTACATCGGACAAGCATATTTGCACCTATATGGAGTAGGAGTGGGGACCATAATTCCAAATACCTCGGAAATCTTAGTTCCATGTTACGGTCATGTTCATGCCATCAACACTTTTATCAAAGTATGTATGTACTTTCAGCTACATGTTCCGTCATTTATTGATATTTCTCGCCTACTTCGTAACACAGTTATAACATTCATAACTGATTTCATCTGAGTCATTAATTATAAACTTTACATTCAAGAGTTCGTATAAGACATATATTGATGTCAACCAGGATATAAACAACTACAATATTATAGATAATTAAATATTCTGAAAAATATGTCTACTTTCACTCAAAAAATATTGACTACAGATACATTTTGGAAAAATTTTTAAAAGAAGAAAATTTCTGAAATTTTCACAAAGTTTGATCTTTACTGAAGGGAATTTTCATCAGGCTTCTTCCTCTTGTGCGCTGTGCTGTTATGCTGAAAGAAATAAGTATTATCTCAATACATTGAAAGATAGAAACCCACAAAAAACAATTTCTATCGATTTTGAATGAAATTTCAAGTTACCGATTCTTGTATAGTTTTGCTGCTGTAATGTTCGAATCACATTATTGAACATCAACTGGAGAAATGGATCTGCTTCAACTGCTTCTTGAAAACCTTTTAATAAATGGATCTGATGATGCTCTCAGCTTGCGGCATTTCCCGTTGCTGTTAGAAACTATTGATCATAATGAATTCCACCAATAAAAAAGTGTTTTGAAATTTTGTTTGGCTGTTGATTCGGAAATCCGTTTCAAAGTACCAAAAGTTTGACTTCATATTACTTATTTTTAAAGTATTCCGCATATTCGATCTGAAAAAGTGATATTTTTCATGAGTATATGAAATGGAAAGACAAAAAATGTTTTTTAATTCAAATTAAAATCTGACGGTCGCATTATTGGCTAAATTTATACTAGCTATAGTATAATGAAATTTTGTAAGTTAATCTTGAAATTAGTAATAATACATTTTTAAAAGCTCATCCATTTCAGATATTGAAAGACATAATTCATCAACTTCACAGTATACAATAGATATTTGAAACGGTTGTATTGAGTAACAAAATATTTAATAAAAAAATGAAACACAATTATTGAACCATATACACTTCCAGAAAACTGAAAACTGTTTTCAAAAAGGCTTTCAATCTTCACAAAATTTAAAAATGAGTCTTTATGACACACATTTAAAAAAAACGTCAACCAAAAAAAGTTATTGAAAGAAATCCAGAAGTTTCAATTTTTAAAAGAAAAATTGATATTTGTGAAATGAAATACTTCTCAAGGAATGTGAAGGGACACATCAGATACAAATCAAGGGTGATACTTTGCAATGAACATATCGATAATTGATTGGATATTCTGGAATTACCGTTTGTAATATAAAAGTTGAATAATAAAATGAGTATAAACCTCAAATGCATTAAATGATATAGAGCTATATGAGTCGATGTGTATTTAGAATGTAAATGTATTCAAAACTCACTCCAGTTTATTTCAATACAAGTTCAAAATGTTCAACATTCATTTCCTGGCAATAATGGAGTCTATTACCAAATTTATTCCTTACATTATGAAATGTTTCAAGGGTAATTTCGCTTCAAGCAATCATCTGAAGGAACAATTCGTTCAGGCCAGTCTTCACTTACCTACACACTGGGTTCATGGACTGTCACCTATCAGAAAACAACTACTACCTTGGCTGGTACCACGAAGGGCGTTGGATTACATTCGTCAGGTACCAGTGCACGATTCTTCACAGAAGTAATTCCTGCGTATGCTACTGGCGATACAACTGCCGGGATCGATTTTCAATAATTATTGGAACGGACACATATGCAGACCGGTTTCGGCCTATTTGGCCTCTCATCAGTGCAAGGTAGTGTCCTATATCAACCTGAAGTCGATGATTTCCCATAATTAAAAATAAAATTCTGTGAGAGTATTATACCTCGAACAAAGCTAAAACAAACAACAAGCAACATATCTGCCATCGCTTCCTGTGCCTGTAGACGAGGTATTAACTGATGTCCACGAGTTCTGAAATAAACTGCGATAACCACAGTTTATTCCAGAGCTCATAAATGGAACGAAAAGTGCTCCTAATGAAATAACAACAGCAACATTTCTTAATGTGATAAATGAATTTGTAAGACAATATTATTCATTATCAAAGAGCGAATGTTGTAAATTCCAAACTACTAGTTGATCAGAAACGGCTAATCTGGTTTCTAAAAATAAACCAGCTTTGAATAGATAATTGAAAAACCCATCAATCGAATCATTACAAGATGTGGTGAAAAGAAATTACAAAATTTCACATATTTTCAGATATTATGCTCTTCAATTCCTTCAATGTTTCATTGGATACACACTAGCGTAAGTACATTCAAGATGAATGTTAAGGATCAATGTCCAGTATTAGGGGGCCTTGACCGCAAGACTTGGGACATTACAGGTACCAAGGGCAAATTGAACATCGGAAGAATTTATCGTAAAGGAGAAGTAATAGTTGGTCCAGTTGCCTCTTACGACAATGATGTGTGGTTGTATTATCCTTCGAATGGAATTGAAGCTCGAGAATCACATTACGAAGTTCTCGTATACCGTGGTCAACCTACAGTTGAAAATGATACCGTAGTCAAAGAAGTTTCGTATATCACATAAAAACAAAATGATTGAATTTTGTTTTATCTGTTTTCTTCATTGAAATTATAATTCATCAAAATTGTAAGTGAGATAATCTGTAGCACTTTTGACGGAAATTGAAGGAGTTCGAAACATAATTTGTCAAACCAATCAAAACACAGATAAAATTAAATTCCTGAAAGAAGAAAAAAAATAATGTCAGTGAAAATCCTTATCCTCATTATCATAAATCCGTCTTTAGTAAATACTTTCGAAATGTTCAAAGGTAAATTCAATAATTGAGAGTGTGAAAAGAAAATGATAAAACAGCAAAGCAAACAAATATTTTGTCAAAAATTTAGTAACAAAAGAAACTGGAAATGTAAACTCATAGTTCACTATCAGATCAAAAACAATTAAAGGCTGAGTTTCAGAAGTAAAATGAGTAACACATAAAAAATATAATCAAGAAATGCTGTTAGAAGTGAGGTGAGGAAGATATTTGAAAGAATTCATATCTCAGTTACGCTACTTTTCCAATACCCCTCCTATCAATTGAATATTTTCCGAATACTATTATCTGTTTGATGTTTTGTAATTCCCAGTGAAACAACTTCAATATTAGTTATTGAAGTAGTAGATATCGCCCATAACAAGGCGATAAGGCAAAATAAACTCATGGGAACGTGCACCACCGACACGTCTTGATGAATGAAACAAAATTTTCATCAACTAAATTACCAGTATTCATTCTGAATAATTTCAACACAACTCACAATTCCCAAAAACAATAGCCTAAGGACTGCTCATGCTTTATGAACAGGCTTCAAAAAGCTAATATATTATTACGTTTTTCCCGTGGGTTGACCAATAATTGACTACAATGAACAATAATCAAACTCAACTTCATTTCAGTTCAAATACAACAAACACTTCAGCTAAAACTTCAACTATTATTCGAATGTCTATCGCCTTACTATAGATCGCTTCGCGTACCGCACTGTAACTTCCACTTGACTGTCTCGATGGGCGAGTGTATGGCGCTTATATTTGGAAATCGAAGGCTCTGGAACATTCCTCGGAATTCCATCGAAGACGGTAGCATTATTCTCGCTACATCTAGAGCGACAGAGAACATCGTACATTTGCGCGCTCTTAGCTACGTCACAATTGGTTTATAGCTATGGCTACCAGTGGCGGCCGGCGTTATTTTCTTTAGGGCATGATTTACAACCGTAAGGTTAAAAAACGTGTTGCGATTTCATAAAATGTATAGGGAAAATCTCACAATGAATACGCTATCATAAACTTCCATTGAGCATCGGCCAATTGCATCACATATCAGAATGAAAAATAAAATTGGAACCTCTGTCGTAGTAAGACTCCAAATCGAGCACTTTTCCCAAACACCAGAACTGCAATTCTATTCTCAACGCGCTTCACCAATTGAGATGACGTCTTCAGTTTTCTTCTCTCCCGAAGACACCAACTTGGTTGGTGAAACGGGCGTCGAGAATAGTATTGCAGTTCTGGTATTCGGGAGAGTGTTTCACATATCTCAAGAAATCATTGAGTAAAAAAATGGAAATCAGACCTCAATTACACCACGTAACCTTGGAAACCATCCCTTTAAACACATTTTTGTGTATATAGAAAACGTCTGTTTCTCGTTTAAAAAATAATGGACATCACACGAAGACGTTTTCATGATACATTTTTTGGAGCGATGGTAAGTCCCTATTTGCGGCGTTGAATAAATATTAGATAACCGAATTATGGTTTCGTTTCAGAAAGTACTGAAATTTGTTGAAAATTTTCAGTACAGTGAACTGTGTCATATTGACATCATAAATAGTACGCATTAAAAAAAAAAGTAATGATACACACATGCCATTCACTTGCATTATTAGTAGTAGTAGTAGTAGTATTGCATGACCACGGACATCATCTGAAAGATAAACACCACTACGCCTTGAATCTATGAGCTACCTATTGTCCAATAACATGAGGAATCAAATCAGCAACTGAAAGTCAAGCCTGCACTTTTCAATATAAGTTGATTTCAGTATACACTTGAAAGATTTATAGTTAGAAAATGTTGAAGTTCATTCAGGAATAGAACATATTTAAAATTTTCTCCAGAAATTACTTCTTTGAAAATATCTCATGAAGTTAAAAAGACATGAAAAAAAGTTTGCAACAAAAATGTAGGGATAAAATCTTCTATAAAATCTTTCAGAATCATTCTTGACGTATTCACAATAGAAATCGAGATATTTGCAATAAATAATTGAAATTTATAACTCAACAATGCGGCACATTGAAAAATTCACGAAAAAATCGAAAGATATCAATTTCTTAACTTTTTTTTATCACATCTAGAAAGTCTGAGTAATAATGTTAGAGATGTGATTTTTTTTCAATTTATTCAAAAGTAATAAACATTTATATAAAAAAATGTTTTTTCACCAAAATTATTTGTTTCTATTTTTTTGAAATACCTACAATAGCGTGTCTTATATGAAAATGTTGAAAAAGTATAGATAAAAAAAACTGTTTCCGATAAAAAACTTTTTCAAATATAAATGAATCAATATGAAGAATATATCTCTACGATAATTCCTTAGACTTTGTAGATATGATCGAAAAAAATTTGGAAAATTTACATTTTTCCATTTTTTAATATGCCGCATTGCTGAGCTATAAATGTCAATCGTTCAATGCAAATACCTTGGTTTCTATTGTAAATGCAAGTGTTTCAGGACGATTTAAATGTATGGGTACTAAAATAAACATATTGAAAAATGCAGGCGTGCCTTTCGGATGGTAATTTGAATCCTCATTTTATTGGACGACTATTGACAAGACAACACTAAACAGCTGAACGACCTATGCCGTAAACATTTACAATGGGTGCATTCGAAAACTTATTGCTTTTTGGAGAATGTGACAAATATTCTCTCGACTAAACCTTAAGTATAGTAAAATGTATGCAAAAAGAAGAGGCATCTTGAAGAGGAAGATTAATCTTCGTGACATATTAACGTCCTTACATTGAAAATCCGAATCAGTTTAACAATGAAATGAAAAAACTAGATGAACTTTGCAACAACAAAGACGAATTTCTGGAGGTGTATTTATTTCTTGTTCTAGTAACAGGCTGATGCCGGTATTTTCTGGGCAAAATATGATATCAAAGTTATGAAATTTGAATTATCTTTTGTTCGAATCGAAATTGGAAAAAAGTTGAAGTGAAAGTACAGAGTCCAAATTTCGAGCAAGAGTATAAAATTGGAGCAACTTTTTTCTCTGACATTTTTCGAAATTTACAAAAAAATGGTTTTTTCTAAAAAATGTCAAACTCGACATTCGTTGAGAGTACCAACAATTATTCCAAGCAGAAAAAAAATCACATCTAACAGACGACGGTCATAACTTCATAACTTGAATTCATTTGACAAAAAATCAAAATGATTGGTCTTTTTTGCATATTTCAAATGACATCTTCAGTATATAAATAAAATGCCTATTTAAAATATCTATATATAATTCAATTACCTATTAATTCCATTTTCGAATATTTGTTCATGATTATATAAAAAAAATAGCTCGAAATTTGACCAAATATTTCAATCATGTTGGATGCATTTTCAATATTATATAACAAACGTCATTGAGATGACAATCATATCTAAATTATTTGAAAATCATTTCTGCAAATACATTGTTCACCGAAATCGTGATTTACAATACTTCCGTGTAATGAAAAATGACAAAAACGCATTTATTCATTTACCAAAATGAGAATTATGGATGATTTACTAGATTAATGCAATTGAAAAAAAATGGTATCAAAATACGAACGCTTATACTCATGCGAAAATTAATTGTTGATTATAAGAAGGAACTGAAATTTCTGATATATTCCATATTAAACATGTACTCATTCCATTTTGGATAGCATTTTTTCAGTTGTTGAATGTTTGGCATAGAAAAGTTTACAAAACGAAATATATTTATAGGATTTATGAAATTCAGATCGAAAATTCCTGACCAGATTATAGTCAAATGCACATTAATTTCATTCTATATTTGATACCTCAGAATTCTTATACATATTGATTTAAGTTGACTTCTTTAATGAAATACATTACTTAGAGTGAAAACCAATAACCACATTATGACTTGAAATATATATTTCAATACCATATGCAAATCGCTTCTAATCAAGCAGTGGAAACATTTCCGAGTGAAATCCATATTGGATATAAGTATTTGAAGCAGTTCAAAAAGATAATTGTTTCAGATAATATTGATAAATAATCTATTTGAAAATGTATTTAGAATACTTATGAAATCCATTTTTTCACAGAACCAAATTACGCAATACTTTCCAACGGGAATGTATAAGCAGATTCATTATTTCTGAAAAATTTCATAATCATCACATACTTGTATTCAAAAAAGGATTCCTTCCACCGCGCCTGTCTGTCTGTGTCTCCAAACGTTATGAATTCAAAAACCACCCCATGCATTTCTATACTATTTTTAACAGTGGAAGAAATGATTCACGAGGAAGGTTAATGTAAATATTCATTATTTTTTTATAAACTGTTTTAAATAAGATTATGTTATCCGTGAGAAATTGGGCCTTATCTCTTCCAGATATAACGGAACAATTCACTACACAATATTTTTCTTTACCAGCTCCTCAAAAAAGTCATCGATGGCATATTTATTTCAATTCCAGTGACATATAATGTAGTAGGTAATTGAAAAGCTATTTAGAAGGATTCGATATCAATCCTCACGTAATAAATACGTTGGTTACCTAACCCTATCGACCACAATTGGCTGAATCTCCGCCATACTCTGTGGTGACTCCTAATGGATAGTCTGCTTAATAACCTTGACAGAGTAGAAGTAGTCCTGCAAGCTCATGCAGATGATCTTGTGATCCTAGCAAGAATCACGTCAAGAGGGGTAGCCTGCAATATCCACCAAAAGACGCTGAAAGTTGTTCAGAGTTGATGTCAAAGAAAGCAGATATATACTGAGTGACGAAGAAAGGTAAACACCCATTTATATTGAAATTATTTCAATAATTTCAACTTACATAGTTGACAGATAATATCAAACACACGAGTAAGTTTTCAGAGAAATTGGATGACCCTGAAACCAGTGAAGTTCAGTAGTCTTTTGCAGATCCTCGATGTC